CCATCTCAGGACAGACTGGTCCAGGTGTCCATCCATCTCAGGATGGCATGGCCCAGGTGTCCATCCATCTCAGGACGGCATGGCCCAGGTGTTCACCCATCTCAGGACGGCATGGCCCAGGTGTCCATCCATCTCAGGACAGACTGGTCCAGGTGTTCATCCATCTCAGGATGGCATGGCCCAGGTGTCCATCCATCTCAGGATAGACTGCCCCAGGTGTCCATCCATCTCAGGACTGACTGCCCAGGTGTCCATCCATCTCGGTACAGCATGCCAGGTGTCCATCCATCTTGGTCCCGGGTGTCCATCCATCTCAGGCCAGTGTGGCTGATGTGTCCATCTACTTAAGTACAGCATAGCCCAAGGATCCATTCATCTGAGGACAGCATGGCCCAAGTGAGTCTCTTTCTTATGAAGATGATGGCATTCCAGGAGCCAGGGGTAAATGAGGATGCCCCAATCGGTAGCCCAAGCCCACAGGAGAAGTCTCCTGGCTCCAGCATTAGAACGGCCACAAACCCCTCCCATCGCTGCCCACTCAATTTAACCTGCTGTGGCTGGTACGTGTGTGCAGTGCAGTTCACAGGGCCATGGGGAGAGAAGGGTCATCACAGGACACCTGTCTGGCCACGAGGAAGCCGCTGTGGCACCGGCCACATGCACACAGAGCCATGAGGAGTGGCGAGTGTGTGGCATCTTCCTCACGGGCGCCTAGGAACCCACTAAGCCCCAGACAAACAACTGTGTCTGTTTCACGGCCTTGGTCACTGAATCTACAAATCTATGTGCTGCCCCACAGTATCCGAGGAACAAACATTTCACTGCAGATCAGAAGGGGTGTGCGCAAATCCAGTTCAGACTGATCTTCCTCCTTACAGGTTTGCTGGTAGTCCTAGGAAACTATGAGCAAAAAAGCTTTTGCAAAGTGCACCATGGTGAGGCCTCTATTTCCTGTTCCTGCAAGGCCGTGGTGCCCTGCCCTGAGCACCTCAGGCCCCACCATCCAGTCACAGTGGCAGTGTGGCACCACCCACGCCCTCGGCAGCACCTGAGGCTGGTCCACAGCCCCCACGGACGCTGCCAGCTGCTGCAGCAGCACGCCCTACACCCACTTCCACTGGGCTCTGCTCTGCCGCCCTGGCCTGCTCTCCTGGCATGTGGCTTTGTGTTACCTGACGACTGGCCCATCAGATTTTGAGCTTCTTCGGAGGAGTGTAAAGGCAGCTTTTCTCCTGGAGAGCAAAGAAGAGACAGGTTTAATGTTTTGCCCTCAAGGAGATAAGCAGTGTCCCTTCAACTAGGGAAGCTCAAAATATGACTGGCACATGCACCGGGGCGCTCTACAGCCACGGCCACAGGCACGCAAGGGGAAGGGGGGCTCAGCCACAGGCACACCACGGTCTCTGAGGGGAGGGACACCCAGCTGCCAGGCATGACACGGGGAAGGGTCTCAGCCACAGGCATGGTGCTGCCTCTCGGGGACGGAGGCCCAGCTGCCAGGCACACCTGGAGGAGGGGGGTCTTGCCACGGTCGGCCACCCTTGACGGCCTTATGATGGCGACTGGGTTGGGGCTGACTCAGCCACTGCTCTCCTGGGGCAGGGCTGGGTGCCACCCCGGGACATGCAGTGGCTTCCTGCAGAAGAGCACCCACGGCTGCTGTCTGTGCTTTTGCTCCTGGAGAAAAGGCTTCAGGATGGCCCCGTGGGTGTGCTCAGCAGGAAGGGCCACGTGGGACAGCACAGAGCACTGCCTGGCAAGTGCAGACTCTCGGTGAGCAGATGTCTCTTCACAGCCAGGCTACGGCAAGGCCAGCTGTTGGTGAACGGGCCCACAGTGGGAGTGAGACCCACCTCCCACCCCCGCCCTGTCCCTGGCCCCGGCCCCTGCAAGCCCGCTGCGTGTGAACCCTGCACCACTGGGACTCATGACTCCAACTGTACCTGTTCCACACACTGCACTGAGTGTCACAGCTCAGAAACAGAAAGTCCCCAGGTGAGAAGAGAAGGAGGTGAGAAAAGGGCTGGGTACGTACCGGGGAAAGCGGGGTTGGTCTGTCCGAGGGGAGGAAAGGGGGTTTGCTGCATGGCCAACTGGTGGAGCTTGGTCAACTGCTGGGGTAGGAGGGACATGAGAGCTAAGAAGGTTATTGTCATTGAGTACAAGTCACACCAAATTAAAAAGGCAGTAACAGAACTTTGCACAGATAGATAGAGAGGGCCATGCGGACACATGGCAGACGCAAGAGAACGCAAGGACTTGGCCTGGGGGAAGCCAATGGAGCCCAGGCTGTGAGCGGGCGTGGGGCACTGCCCGGCGTGCGGAGAGCGGCACAGGGAGCCGCCGTCGCCGTCTTCTCTCCCTGGCTCCCTGGCAGCTCCAGCCTGGACCAGCCGAGCCTCCTTCTCACCAGCTGGTGTGGACAGGAAGCTGGCTGGGGCCAGTGGGTCACAGCGGGCCTGGGAGAGTCTGGGAGCCACAGAGGAAGACAAGCTGCATGTCTAGGAGATTCCAGACCAAGTCACCAGTCACAAAACTCAGGCTAGCCCCTGTGGTATCCAGAGGCTCTAGTCTGCAAAGCTCGCCCTGGCCTCACCTGTGCTAGGCCTGGCCCCCTCTCCTCCCCTGCAGGGCCTCGCTTTACCCAGGAGGTGACCTGGGGTTGGGGGACACCCGAAGGGCCACACACCTGCCTTCTAGTCATCTCCAGGAACGTCTCGCCTTTCCTGGGATTACAGAACACTAGTGCTGGAAGGTTCTGTGGAAGGCGTGAGTGAGGGATACCTCAGGCCCTCAGCTGGGAGCTGCCTGTGCCTCCAGTCCCTGCAGGCTGCCCCCAGCCCTTCTCCTCCCCAGTTCCTGAGCCACAAGACTTTTCAAGAGGGCTTTGCTGCCATTTTTAAAGTTATTTTACCTGAGTCTCATTTCTTAAATAAAAACTAAAAATAGCAAAAGATAACAGTAAATGTGGCAAGATGAGGCCACATTTGGGATGCTCAAAATTACATCCCTGATTTGGAGAGCCCAGGACTGCTCAGCAGACGGCACGGGGCTCCTCACACCGGGCTCTGCCAGGAGCCATGGGCCTCCAGTCTCAGGCCTGCCAAGGCTGGGGACTGCAGAGGGTGTCCTGGGGCTCAGGAGGGCACTGGACGAAGCTCCTCTATGGGGGGGGGCAGCCCGACAGGAAGGGAGGCAGCACATTTGGGGAGGGGCATCACCTCCCATCGTTTTCAGAACATCCAACCCAAATGCATCCCCGTGTGGTGGCTGTGTGTGGACTCCTGCAATCCCCAGCCAGGCAGGCAGCTCAGCTTCTTCGCTGCACAGGGTGTGGGGTGGCAAAAGCTGCTGCAGAGGCCACCAAGGCTTGGGGTGTGGGCACTCGGAGCAGAGCTGCTGTCTGCATGCGAGGAGGCCAGCTGCTGGGCACCTGACAAGATCCCTATGCTTGCTCCCCACCCCTGGAACCCGGGTTCCCAGACACCAGGGAGCCCAGGTCAGGAAGGCAGCAACCGTGGTCCCAGCACCTTCCCAGCTCTGTGCTCCTGGGTGGGTTTGTGCTCAGCCTCCCAGGAGCTCTCACCTAAGAGTTCACCCAGAGTCAAGACAAAGGCCCCTCCTCAGTACCCAGTATCCTGGGAGGATGGGGGCTGATCCCCAGCCCTGCCCCTCCATGACCCCTGGCCTTGCCAGCTGTTGGGCAGGGTAGGCCTGGCAGGAGGGGGCCGTCTGGTGTGCTGTGGCCATCTGGCCTCTTCATACTCCCACAAGATGGGGTCCAGTCCCCATGGCAAGCCCGTGGCCTCTGGCACACCTCTGAGTGTAGTGGAGAGCAATGAGATTATGAGGTGTTTGGTGCCGCAGACTGACTTTGTTTCCAGAGATCTGCCATTGCAGACACATCTGGCAAGGACTTACACAGGGGCACATCTGCAAAGCAGGCCCTGCCCAGGCCTCTCCACCTTCCTGGCTGTCCTCTGACCCCAGGCCTGCTCAAGGAGACCTGACTGTACCCCAGAATCAGCTAGGCCACTCCTGGTGCAGCAGGAGAGCTCAGGTCAGGGGTCAGGTTCAGCTCTAAGAGTGCCCTGAAGAGTGGGTGCCTGTGAAGGCCACAGCAGGGGCTGGAGGTGCCCCTGCCTGGTGGGCCGCAGAGCCCAGCTGCTGGTCCAGGAAGACGACCCAGCTCCCATGTGGGTGGCATCTGCGCTGCCCCGTGACGTAACATGAATGGGCCTGCCAGGTTACCTGAGGGGACGTGTGTGCAAACCCCTGACGAGGGTGCCAGGAGAGCCTGTGGGGGAGATGCTGTCCCAAGGACACCAGCTGAAGTCACCGGGACAAAGTCTACCTCACAGTGAGACACGAGGCCCTGCGGGAGCAGTAGGAGAAAGCAGGTGCATCGGGGTTCTAGTGAAGGCACCCCACCTGGACAGGGCACTCCAGGAAAGACCGGGCTGTCCAGGCGGGGCAGGAGAACTACAGGGGGGTGAGGCGCTACCGGTGAGTTCATCCAGTCACCGGATGCTGAGTGGCACAACTGGGATGCGCAAACCCCTGACTCCCAGTGGCCAGGCCCAGGAGCTGCCCCATGGCCAGGGAATTCGACACAAGGGAGGGGGTGCCCCCGGTCTCTGCAGGGCACAGAATGGCTCGAGTTGGCTCCAAGATGGCCCGGCCTGTGACGATAGGAAGGCCTGGTGGCTCCAGGCCTCAGTTCCTCGAACTATAAAAGTGGGGAATGGATGTGAGTGGCAGCTGGCATGTGCTGTAGGCAACAACACTGTCCCCAACACGTGTTTGGCTTTTGATGAAGAAGTGACCACACTAGCAGATGAATCTCCTTCCTCCCACCTAGAAACATAGGGGACATCCCAGGGAGGCCTGGCCTGGCACAGGGCGGTGCTGCGTGGGCATCTGTGGAGAGCATGGGTGAGCAGGTGCACGAAGACCAGGACACAGTGCTCACCCGGCTCTGCCCGGCATCAGTCCGGCCACTGCGTCTCTTTTGGACTCAATTTCCACATTTTTTAAAGGCGGGAACAGGACTAAGTGTCAAGGGGCCTTCCAATTTTTGAGAAAATTCTGCCTGTAAAAAATGAGACTTTTGATTCACACCAGAACCTCCAAATCACGGAGAGGAAAAGAATAAAGACAGAAGTTGAGGGAGGAGGGGAAGAAGGTTAGACAGGCAGGCGGGCAGGCAAGTGGGGGGAGGGGGGGAGGGGGAGGAGGGCAGGAGAGTGGGCAGGGGAAATGTCCCATGACCGATGTTTCTCTGTAAACTGCCTTTTCCACTTCACATTGACTCAGAACGTAACACACAGACAACTACTAAAATTACAAGCATTTGTTAAGATGCAACGCAATGAACGATCACAAAACAAACACACCCATGCAACCGTCACTCAGGCCAAGGCCGCTGCCATGGTAGTTTTAACCTGCATTCTCATGTCCTCTCCAGTAAAATTCCTGTTTCTGTCCTTCGCCTATTTTTCTTATTGCTTGATTTTTGCTGACTTCAAGAGAGCTCCCAGGTATTTCCGATGCCAGCATTTCCGATGCCATCCTGCCTGTGCTGTGCCTTCGTGCTGCCCAGCTCTTTTCCCTACTCGCCTGTGGTGTCTTACGAGAAGCAGTATTCTAAAATTGAATGTAGTTGAACTCATCAGTGTTTTCCTTTATGGTCTGAGCTTATGTTTTAAGAAATCCTCCCCTGACTGAGAATACGACATTCTTCTATATATTTTCTCCTAAAACTGCTAAATTCTTCTGTCTTGTGTTGGAGTTCTTGATACATGGGAGATGGTTTTTGTTTATGGCAGGAAATAAATTATGACCTGCCGTCCTGTCACTGCGGGGAGCATCCGCCCTCTCCCAGGCTCCTGTGGACAGCTTCGTCCTGTCCACATCTCGGGGATGGCTTCCTTCCTATGTGGGGGGGGGGGCGGTCCTGGGCTCTCAGGTCTGAACCAGACTTTACTGGTCTCTCACTGCACCCAAACCACACAGTCTGGCACAGTCATCTCTGATTGTAACTGCCTCCTGCACACCTCCTGCGGGCCTGCCGGAGGCTGTTTTACCGCTAACTTGTTTAGACAAGGCGAAGGAATACACTAAAATAAGATAAGAACCATAGTAACACATAACCCAGTGCCACCGCCGCTTATCAGTGTCATGAAGAATGATGAACCGTGCATGACAGCAGGTGCTAGATGGCTGGCAGCACAGGGGGTTTGCACCAGCAGCACACATGGGGTAACGTGCTGCGCGGCACCTTCACACTGGCTACAACGTCACCAGTAACTTCTCCGCTCCCCTCCACTCTCATGTGGCCACCAGTGGTCTGTTGTTGCCTGAACCAACCGCGTGGTGCGTGACTGTAACTGCTTTGTGCTGAGAGTGTGAGCTACACCATTCCGATTTTGAAAGATGGTGGGATGTGCTTTACGGTCTGGTATGTGATCAGGTTTTGCAAATGTCTCTGTGAATTCTACAGTGGTGCTGGGTGTAGTGTTCAACCTACGTCAATTATGTCAGGATCACGGAGAATTCTGTTGATGCTTTCTTCACACTTGTTTACTTGGCCTATCACTCATGGAAAGAGAGGTGTGCCCAGTGTTCACTATGTCTGTCAAATTCTCCATGTTTTGTCAACTATTTTCTTTATATATTTTAAAGCTATGTTTTAAGCACGTACAAATTTTGAATTATTGTATCTTCTGTGAGCTGAATTTAACAACATGTAATGACTAAAGTTTTTTTCTTAAAGTCTTGCTTTTTCCCCACTGCTGATGTTAATATTGGTACACCAGTTTATTTCTTGCGTATTCCTTAGCCTCTTCATTCTTTCACTTTTTTTCTGGGTCCTTATGCTTGAGGTGTGTCTCTCGAAAGAAAAAAAATTGTTTTTGCTTGTTTGTTCATCTATTTGTTCAACTTAAAAATACAGTCTGACAGCCTTGCATCTTAACTGGAATTTCCTTTCACTTTGATCACAATCATCCCCACGTTTGGACTAATTTTAGATATCTTGTTTTCAAATTGTCCTGCTTTTCCAGGGGTTCTTTTTTATTTCACTCCTTTTCTTATGTTGGGTTAACAGTTTTTC